TCGTATGGTTACACTTAGCTTTAATAATCATCTCTATCTGTCGGCACAATAATTTGGGCACGTAATCGTAGAAAACTGTAAAACAACAGAAAAAATATTTTTAGCATCGATATTTTGAGAATACATTATTCTTTGAGTAACCGACAATTGACATTATGATGCCGATTCATTAAAATACAAAACCGAATCCAAATTAAACAAAGAAGTGCAAACAAAGATGAATGAATAATTCGTGATGAGACCGATGACTGACATTATAAAATCGATATGTATTGTATTTGAAGTTTCTATAATAAATACATGAAGAAAAAAATATATTTATTTTAATAAATATTTGTTCGAATAATGCCACTTGAATATTTACTAAGTAAACGCATATTTATTTGGATAAAATTTTTATTTAGTACAAAAAACATTAATTTAATTTAATAACTATTATATATTTTCATTTAGTAAATAAATATTACATTAGTATAATACTATTCAAACAATTCTTTATTAAAATTTAGTCAATTTTTTCTCATTGTAGGAACACTAAATATATACACTAAAAAAGAGTCTAATGATAGCTATCAAACGTTAAGTAAAATAATTCCTATTAAATGTTAAATTGAGATAACCAAAAATAATTTTACTTTCCCTAAATATTCTTTTCCTAAATATTTAGTAAGTATTACCAAACAGTTGATTATATTTGATAATACATAATTACAAATATTTATAGAAAAGTAAAATTATTTTTAGTTATATTAACCGAACATTTGATTGGAATTATTTCATTCCACATATACTAACTATTATACTATCAGATTCTGTTTTCAGTGTGTAGAAACTTTATAATGAAGATCTTAAAATACACAAACTGAAGACTCTATAATAGATCTGACCGCGAGATGATAAACTTTTTATTGACCCATCGTTTTTGTCAACTACAATAAGCTAAAATAAAAGAGTATAAATTGGAATGAGATAGCATGTATAAAAAGATATAGTATATATGTATATCCTTTTTTCTTATGACAAAATTATTCGTGGCCTCTATCATAGAGTCTACTCCACTCTATTATAGCGTCTCTAACATACACCAATCCCAGCATTAGGATTCTGTAACTTTTAAGCTCTTTTCACAACATAATTAGCTAAAACTTAAAGGTTATCAAGAAATTCATGAATTTCATTGATGAATCTCTTAGTAGTTGGTAACCTTTAATTTTTAGATAATCATGTCGTGAAAACGAGCCTAAGAATTACAGAATCCCAAGTAACTATAAATTATAAAAACATCGATATCACTGTTGTTAAGAATTACAGGAATTCCAATGCAAATCAAACAAATAAGTCTGAAACACGAATGAGCAACTCGTTTGCCAGTACTCGTGACGTAGTTCAGTTTTTTATTCAAATTGTACTCATTTTATATAAATAAAAGTGCTAATCTCTCTTCCAGAGTAAACAGTATTTTATGAGTAAATTTAAATTCTTTATTAAAATTCAAATTTAAGACATTTCGATCCCATCCTTTTGGATCGTTCTCAATAATTAATAAATAATAATGTCGGATTTGTTGTACATGGAAATTGAAATAATTATCGTAGTTAGATACAGTAAAATGAAAGTCACGCTGACATACATAAGTTTCACCTGCGTCAATATCGATTAAATTTTTCAAATATGTATGGACCGGTAGTGGAATTCTAAATTATGTAAGTCAAATGAGCTTGGATCATATCAAATTCATAATCTCATTTTTTTATATATGAACTTATATATATCAACGTCCTAATTAATGTATCACGAAACTTACGTATCTCGTGCCCGCTTCTATCAATGTAGTTTCATTTTAATCTTAGTTTAACTAACTTTCATCTTTTTCTAGTTCTAACAATAAGAATTAGAAAAATGAAAGTTGAACCGAGATTAATCTACATTGACAGGTATCAGTGGCTTTCTTTATTTACTACATCTGACTGCGATAATTACTTCAACTTCCATGAAACAAATCCGACATTTGTTATTAAGGATAATCTAAAAGTGAGGAGTTGAAACGTCTTAAATTTGAATTTCAATAAAAAATTTAAAATGATATATAAACATCTAATATTGGCTCTGATTGGCATTTTTACCTTATATATTCTCTAAGCTTTTTCTTATACTTTTGTTTACTCATTCTTCGCTTCACTTCATCTTCGTTTACTTGATCTAAATTGAGCTTTGGATAAAATTAATTTTCGTTAAAAAAAAAACCTACGAAACTAAGAAAGAAAATTGTATGAGATGGCAAGTAATTTTTAGTTTTCCAGCGAGATATTTACATTTACATATCGTAAAAACGACTTTGTCACTCTTTACAGTGACTATCTTTAGTAACTTTAGTAAAATTGATCAGAATCCATATTCAACGTGTCAAGAAGAAAGTACGAGGAGAATATCAGATTAATCTTTTTTTTTTCAAATTGTGTTCTCAAGGGACAGATCTTCGAAATAAAACAGAGGAATCGAGGTAATAGATATTCCACATAACTTTCGTATCACACTACGCATTGGAGAATGAGTGAGGCTGATGTCCATGAGCGGAAATCAGCGGAAATTTACAGCGGAATGGAACAGCGAGACCAATCGCAAAAAAAAAAACAAAATAATGACTGCAGAATTATGATTAGTCGTGTTCTTCCATTCTATTGTACATTTCCGCTCATAGAATTGCATAGGATGCCAGCCAGATTGTGAATTGAGGATTAAATTTTAACCAATCGGAACCAAACAGATTAAAATGAAAATTATCTGATTAGTCGAATTTTAATCTTCAATTCGCAATCCTCAATCTCCAGTGCGTATAATGATAAACACAGGAATAACATTTCTGTCCGTATTCATAATTAGACCTTATACTTAAGACTTCCTTAAATTTATCTTTAAATGCTCAGTAGCCAATGAAATAATTCATAGAGTATCTGTGAAGATACTTAAGGAAATTTAAGGAAGCCTTAAATATAAGACCTGAATACGGGTATTGATTTCGACCGCTTCGCAAAACTCGAAGACCCGTCATTTTTATTACGTATGTCGCCTGCCTTAAGCCATGAATATGCATCGCGTGCGATACATCACGAGTAACACAGTCGGCAGTCCAGACAGTCCGAGCTCGTTTAGCGCGCTGCCAACGACAGCTCGCTCCCCTTCCTCCTCCCTTCTGCCCCGTTGCAGCGTTGTGGCAGCGTTGCCTCCTCGTCGGCCGCGATTAATCACCCCGCCTCAATATCAAAGCGTGACGGCGGCGCGGTTTTATCTCGCTCGACGACGGAAAACGCGATTAATCATTAGCAGCGAGAGACCGAGCGAGACTTGGGGAATCGGCGTGTACGATCGATGCGCTCGGGCGCGTTGGCGCGAATGACGTTTCATTCATACGTGCCGAGTGCACGTGTCAACGCGCGCGAGCACATGGCCGGTGCAATGAGAGGAGGGAGACGGGGGGTGGCGGGGAAGGTAGAGAGAGAGAAAAAGGAAGGAGAAAACGATACTTTCCGGCGACACTTGCGAACACTTGTGAATCGCGGATCGATTTTCAAGGAACACACGAAAGCCACAATGAAAAACCAAATGACTTTATTTCGATTCTTAACGTCAATTAAGGGTCAAAATTTTGTACTCAAAAATCATCGTTTTGACGTCAAAATAAAATTGTTTCGACTTTCTCTTGACTCGGTATGTTGGATTGAGAAGACAAGCCGGCAGTGCGCGTGAATACGATTCACATCGTATCGATGACTCTTTTTCCTTTTATGTGAAAGGCAGTAACACGCATGCGAATTACGACGTAAATCCACAATATCCATATATGCCATGTGATGCCACGCGAGCGAGTTCGAACATCTTCCAGGTTGCACTCGCCACGGTCGTGAAGTTCATGGGACTCGATGAACATTCGGTACGATGTAGATCGAGGAGATTTCAAAGGTAATTTGTTACCAGTAATGAGACGAAAAATACTCACGTTCGTCGACACGAGAGCGAAACACCCAATCCGACAATCTGTGGACGAGGTTATGATACGGATGGATATACGCGCGAATGAAATTCCGCCATAAAATTACCGTGAAATTCCACCTCAGAACTAACAAGTGCGAGCGCATTAACGTGATAAATTCGTGACGGATGAGTTGATAATTGATGTCCACCTTTATCAAAATTCGCAATCTCAGAATTTTCACGTCAATATATAACCCGATATTTCAACATGCGGCAGATTCCAATGACCGAAGCAACCGGAGAACTGAACTAGCGAAACTTCATAGTTGCGACATCTGTTGTGAGAAATAATAAGCTATGTGTGTAAAGATAGTTTAATCTGTCAATACATTATCACTCGAAAAAAATCAGTCGATAAAGAATACCAATCGGTAATATTTAGTATCTTCATTCCTAATTTCTACAACTAATTTTTTTTTACGTTGAAAAGAAAAAAAACGTGAATCCCAAACTATTTTCTGCTATAAAATAATTATATTCTTATTGTTTATTAATATGAGACAAAGATTGAATGATTATTTGTTAGCTCGGACACAATGAAAGGAATAAAAAATAAGAACAAAGAATAAAATGTACACATAGGCAATAAATTTCTATTAGAAATTGCTTTACATTGATACATGGTTTCTGATAGATTGAAATCTATTGTTTGATATTCCCTGTTCTTATGCCTTATATCTATCATTGTTGGAACACTCTCTTGGTGAAAAGCATCAATAATATATACATATAAAAATGATATATACATATATACGTATAAAGTTATACATGTTATATATACATTAAAAAAATAA